GGTCCTTTCAGGTGTTTCTGGTTCTTTCTGATGTCAGCAGCTTTATAGAAGCAGAGTTAAATGTAACCAGGCAGAATCGAAAGGCTAGATTAGAGATGGGGGGAGGGGGGGCACAAGCCATCTCCCCTCACAGCCCATGCTGTCCCCGAGGGGTGTCTGAGCTATGAGCAGAGCAAAGTCAATGTCTTAGCCCTTCCAAGTTGGCGGGCACATCCTCTCATGTAAATGAGACACGGAGCCTGTCTTGCCTCTGGCAGTTACAGCTCATAGCATTTTGAGCAATAAAAAGACTGCTGTGTTTCATCCAAGTTTCCGTGAGTGGCTTAGCTCTGTGTCTTTTCAGGTTTATAGCTCAGTGGTAGAGCATTTGCCTAGCATGCTTGAGGTCCTGGGTCCATCCCCGGTACCACAGAAAGGGGCAGGGGGGAGAGAAAAGATCCAGCAACCCCAAAACATCTGTTTTCTCACATTTCTATAAAAGGCAAAGAAATTTCTATCAAAATCAGTGCCCCATGCTCTCCTTGCACGCTCTATTCAGACTCTGGGTTGGAATGGAATTCCCCAGTAGATTAGTTTTTCTGTTCCATTTCTTCTTTTTAAAATAGTACCTGTGAGGTACTAATTCTGAGTGATAGGTGTTCATTATGGACATGTGGGGGGCTACAAAGCCAGTCAGGTGGGTGAGCTGCATCCATTTGCATCCTTCCTTTTTCCTGTTCATATGGCAACGTCATTTTCTCCTCTGTTTTGAATAATTGTATCACCCAAAGCTGTCCCCTTCACTCTTTTTAGTTTTTAAACTTCTGCTCTTACTATTTTGATATCTCAGACGATGTACCATCCTGTAAAGGCTGTACAGGGAATGTGAGCAAGGTAAAGAGAACCTAGGATCTATTGGGTGATGTCCAGAAAGGAGTGTTCATCTGTGGGTCTGTGTTTCCATCTCAACATACATGTGCGCAGGCGCCTGCCTGATTTGGGATGTGCACTGCTAACATAGTGTGTCACTGTCCCTTGCAAATGGGTACAGACACCGTTCTAGCTGCCTACTCATGTGTCATTAGAGTCCCAGGAAATGGCAGAGAGTTGATGTCATACTTATGGGACTTCTCCAGGTGTCTGAGCCACGCGCACAGACTTTACACTCCAAAGCCAAGCAGCCAGAGTAGGTCAGCTTCTGCAGAGCAGATATTTGGAAAAGACCCAGGCATGTTCGTCATGGCTGTTGAGATGGGATAAAAGCACTTTACACACTCTGGCTTTGGTTTGGAGGTTGTACCTGGTATCAGGCATACTGTGCAGGACAGTGAAAGGATTTAAGGGAAAAAAAAAAAGAGACTGTGGTCCCCACGTTTATCCCACTGCAGGGTAGAATGGCCAGTCCAACAGTAGCCCTCCTGTTAACCCGAGCCCTGTTCTCCCTGAGGGCCACCTCCCTCCCGGTCCTCCCACGGCCCGGAGGCCTTACCCTCCTGGGGCTTCCTGTGTCCTGTGTGTGCTCCTGTGGTTCTGTGATGGTCCCTTGCTCAGCTCCTCTCCCTCTTCCTTGAATGGCGGTCAGGTCTGGAGAGATCTCTGCACACTGTCTCTCAGTCGCCCGTCACTACTCTTACGGAGTGTCCCTGTGAGTTGTTGATGTGTCTTGTCAGCTCAGCCCCTTTCGGTCTCGGAGTCCACTGCGGCCCTGGATGCCTCCCAAAGGTGGAAGAGCCGAAAGAGAAAGGGGCGGGCGGTTTCCCGTGGCCCGTGGGAGGGGGTAGTGCAGCCGGCTGCTGGAAGTCGCCTCCTGTTGTTCATAGTTTCCCCTAACTTCCCGGTGCAGAACGCAGAGGAGTGTGTCCGTCGGCCCTGCAGGCTCAGGGTTCCTTTCTGTGGGCATAGTGGCCAGGGCGACAGACCCTCTTTGCCCCTTAGGGGTTCGGGAAAGCAGGCTTGACCCTGAGCACAGGTGACGTCTCAGGAACACTGGTGTAGGTTGTGTTGGTGACCCCAGTAGCCTCCTGCGCGCCCTGAAGCAGCGTCAGCTGCACATTTACAGAGTCTGTTGCCTGGAGGTAGGCAGAGCTGCCCAAGGCCACCGTGCAATAATGTTCCAGTGTCACTGCCTGCCCTCGCCAGCCACTGCTGCCTGCAGCCTGAGCCTGCGCTTGTTCAATTTCTGTGCTGAAAAAAGGACTTAATTCATTTGTAGACTTTGTTTCCCCTGTTTCTGCTTCTCCATTCTTGTGGATTTTTTTTCTTTTCTTCCTATTGTCCCTCTCTCACCTTTTCTGTTTTTTGTCCTCTGCCTGTTTTTATTTCACCTCCCCCACCCCCGTCCCTCTCCACCTCCAAATTTCCTCTCCTCCTTTCCCTCTTCCTTTTTTTTTGTCTTTCTCTGTCTCCTCTTCCTCTTCCTTGTTTGGTCCTTTTTGAAGTTGAGCCCAGTGGCGGGACTCCACGGCGTAGACCTCTCTCCTTCTGCCCTTGCTGTGTCCAGGAAGGTAACGTAACCTCGCCCACTCATCCCCACTGCCTCCTAGGGCCCCCCCCCCCCCGCAGCCACCATAGTCCAACAGGGAGCCAAGACCCAGCGATTGCTCTTCCTCTTTCTCTGACTCCTGATAGCCCCTCTTCAGAGTGTCCTGAGTATGTGGCAGTTCCTTACAAGGCACAGTATCCCTTTGACTGTCCAGGGGAGGGTGGGAACCGAGGGATGGCCAAAGAGCCTGTGGGCTCCAGTGTCTGTAGGCTGCAGTCCTTCTGCCGTCCTGCCTACCATTGGTGCTTGGGGCCTTGGGGCTGGTAAGCTCAAAGCCAGCATATAGAAGGCCAGGAACAGGGGAGGAACCCCATCTGCAGCGGAGTCAAGGAATACTGTCCTTACAAAGACTGGTCTACACAACCCCCCCCCCCCCCCCCCGAGTTCTGTTGGTGTTCTCCAACCACTAAAAACAAACTTCTCTACCTTGTGTCTTGCTGAGTGTGTCTTGCTGAGTGTGTCTTGTTTTGTTTTGAGTTTGTCTGACTTGAAGTCTGTTGTGGTGACAAGATTGTCATTGACAAGGCATGTGGGCAGGGGAAGGGCAGTGTGGCCATGACTAACCTCTGCTAACCTCAGCCCTCCATGGCTCTCACACGGGACCACCCACCCTGCCACATCCCCTTGCTCATCAGCCATGACCGAGCTCCGACATGACTCATGAGCAGTGCCCCAGTGACCCCCATTGGAATTTGGGGTCTTTACATGCTGGGAGGTGGGGGGGAGGGGTCGGACCTGGCACGCTCGTGGCTTGCCACTCTGGACAGCTTGCATGCCTCGAGGCTTCATCTCCATGGCCACATGGGCACACTGTGCAGAGACGCTCCAGAAGGAATGCGTGGAACTGGGCTGGAGGCTGCTTTAAAGCCAAAGACCCAAGTCTATTGGAGTGGGGAAGGAGAGCTTGGGTCCCGAGACCGTAGGCAGGCTCGACAGGCCGAGATGGAGGTGTCCAATCTTTGAGAGTAGAGCTCGGGGCCAGGACTGCACGCACCACGAGCAAGGGTGCGTGTGTGCCAGGCATGGTGCCGATACTAACCCTTGCTTATGTCAGTTTTGTCTCCAGAGCGTGGTCACTGGCTAAGGGCTTAGGCTTAGGCCGGACATGTATCCAGCATACAGTGAAAGCGCTTTGGCCTTTGGCTAGTGTGAAAGAGTCGGGAGGAAGCAGGCTAGAGCAGGTGAGAGTCTGACAAGGGAACCGACCTGAGTAAGTCATCAGTACTCTTGTGCTAAGGTACTTCGCAGGGCTGGACCGTCCAACCAAGTAAGTGGAGGGGACGTTGGGAAGCCCTCGACACCCTGAGCTCTGTGTAAAATGACTTGCTGTTGTGATGGGAGTTGTATGTAGTTCAGCAATTGGGGTACTGCCTAGCACATACGAGGCTCCGTGTTCCACCCCCAGCACACAGAAAACCACTAAGGAAAGTTTACGACCACATGGGCAAAGAGCTTCCAGGGCAAGGGGAGGAGCTTTGCACGCTCTGCAGGACTTTGCTGCATCCTGGATGGTTGGGTTCCATAGAAAGGCTTTCCTCCATGCTCCCGCTGCAGTTAGGCCAGGGGTGTGGGCCATTCCCGGTGGCCACTCAGATGTTGGTTCAGGACAGCGCAAGTCAGCAGGGGCCACAGCTACCCTTCCCGCTGGTGAGAAGTCTGACCACCACCCCGATGCCTCCTGTCTGCCATGCAGGGTCTACTGGAGTGTCTGTCGGGCTGCGTGCTAAGAAGGGCTGTGTTAGGGCAGGGGGTGTAGTTCAGTGGTAGAGCGTCTGCCTGGCATGCACGTGCCTAGGTGAGTGCACAAGAAAACAAAGAAATGGTGTCTTCTCAGTCAGACTAGGAAGCGGTGGTGAAGTCAGGGACCCCTGAAAGAGACAGCTGCCCAGGAAAAAAACGGGGTTAAGAGAGTAACTTAGGAGCAAGCTATAAAACTGGGCATGGCAGCACAGGTGCCTATAATCTCAGAATGGCGACAGGAGGATCAGAGTTCAAGGCCAGCTTAGGATACATGAAACCTTACGTTAAAGGCAAGATGTAATTTGTAAATCTATACTTCTGTTTATCAGACCATTTTCCTCCTAGTAACAGGGAGAGAACAAGCCATTTCATACACACACACACACACACCCCACATATGTACATACAGACACACACACATACCACATCTACACACACACACACACACCACTGAGCAGAGTTAAGCTTGGAAGGAAGGAACAGTTACCCAGGACAAGTCCTGGCCAGGACTGATGGAAAGTCTAGCTCTGTTGGGCCCTGGGTGGACACAGCAAGCAGCGGCCTGTCGTTCTCTGCCCCCCCTGTCCCTGTCAAGGCTGTAGGCAAACTTTGGGCCTGGCTTGGGACTGTTCCGGCAGCATCTTGCTTGGCTCTTTGCACATTTGCCCCAGTGTGATGATCCTTCTGGGCTGGGCAAACAGAGACCATCCCCTTGGTTGACCCTCAATCTCTCACACAGGCATGGGCAAAAAGGATGACCCCAAGCTGATGCAGGAGTGGTTCAAGTTGGTGCAGGAGAAGAACGCCATGGTGCGCTACGAGTCGGAGCTGATGATCTTGTGAGTAGGCTGGGATTTAGGAACCAGCCACAGGGGTGCCCAGGCGCATCACAGCAGGCAGGGCGGTCCTGGTTCTGGTTTGGCAGGGTGAAGAGGGCTGGTCCCCAAGTCACCCGTTGCTGTCTCTTTCTGTCTCAGTGCCCGGGAGCTGGAGCTGGAAGACCGGCAGAGCCGGCTGCAGCAGGAGCTGAGGGAGCGCATGGCTGTGGAAGGTAAGCAGAGGACAAGCGGGTGGGAAGGTGAGGTGGGCCGCCGCCCCAGGCCACACACCTGATGCCCTCAGCCGCCCGGCAGATCACCTGAAGACGGAGGGGGAGCTTTCGGAGGAAAAGAAGATCCTGAACGAGATGCTGGAGGTGGTGGAGCAGAGGGACTCCCTGGTGGCCCTGCTGGAGGAGCAGCGACTGCGGGAGAAAGAGGAGGACAAGGACCTGGAGGCCGCCATGCTGTGCAAGGGCTTCAGCCTGGACTGGTCCTGAGCCCGGCCGCCGCTGTGTTGGGTAGATTGGCACCCACCTGGCCCGGCTGCATCCTCCCAAACCGGAGGGTAGTGCTCAGGCACCCGTGCTGTGGGGAAACCCCTCGTGAGGGTTATCCTGTGAGGTGACTCCACCTCCTAGGAGAGGCCCCCCCCAGACCTCCCCCTCAGGAGGTGTGTGCTTGCTGCGTGCCCCAGGGGAGACTCCTTCAGGTCCCCGAGGGCTCGCTGCCTGGCACCTCTTTCTTCCTTCTGCTGGTAAGAGAGAGAAGTGGCTCCCCTTCCGAGCCGCTGCCGCCACCGAGCATCTGCAGAGCAGAGCAGCCATTGCCCTCATGCTCCCTCAAGCACCACCAAAGAAAGGACGGCGGCATCTACAGGAAAGGGCTGTGGATGGAGGTCCAGCAGGAAGCCACACCCAGGAGGGTGACGCCCACCCTGCCACTGCAGGGGGAGTCGGACAGTAGGCCTGTTCTTTATGCAAGTCCGGGGGGCTCAGGAGTGGTCTGCCCCAGCACACACTGGATCCCCAGTGGCCAAGCGCCCCAGGCCGTCCACGTGGGCGGGGGCCTGAGGCCCATGGATTGCTGTGTTTTGCTTTGAGTTCACGACCGTTTGACACTGGAAAGTATTGACTTTGGGAGAGCTGAGGGAGGCCCTAGTGTCAACCCCTCCCCCGCCCCACTGCTACCCCATCCACTCCCACACCCCCTTTGACAGACAGGCGCCATCCCTGGTCAGCACCCACATCAGTCCAGGAGATGGCCCTCTTGGACATTTTCCTGTGTTTGCACATTGAAACAAAACTGACAACCTGGCCAGACACTCAGCCACTTCGGACCCTTTTTGTCAATTAACTTATTTTTTTAATACTTGAAAATAAGCAACTTCATTTTTATACCTTTACTAGAGACACTGATTGCCTGTCACCTGCGTGTCGGAGTGCCTGGGACGCCTTTGTTCATCGCACGCCAGCTGATGCAAAACTGACCTGATTCTTGTTACATACATCTATTTATTAGCCTTCTTAAGAGTGTTACTGTCCTGGTCGGCCCCAGGGAGCAGCTCAAGGCCCCGTGGGTCCTTGCTCACAGCCTTTCTGTCCTCTTCTCCACCCAGCACCCTTGTTCCCGTTTCTGCTGCCACTGGACTCTTGCAGGAGAACTGCCTCTCTGTGAGGAGGCATTTCAGCACTAGGAGGCCAGGCCTGGAGACAGAAAGGCTGCTCTGGTCTCTCCTGTTGGGATCTTGGCTCTGTGGAACCCCCTTTGTCCGGTTTTCGTGGCAAGGTTTTACCTCCTGTACATAGGTTTAAATGTTGAGGCCAGCCCTTTTTCACACTTGCTGGGACCAAGTACAGTGTGACCTTGTCCTTAGGCTGGCTGACCAGAATGCCCCAGTCCAGCTAGACAGGAATGTGTGTTCTCCCCTCAACACACTGGCTGCTCCAATTTTCCCTGCCTATACTAGGATTTTCTCGGCCTGGCAAGCACCATGTAACCAGCTCCATAAGCCAAGCTGTTCATTTTTCATGGTTCAGCCAGAGACCAATGACGGGGGCCAGAGTGCTTCTCTTTCAGAACAGCAGCACATGGACCTCTCCATTGGTACCATGCCAGCCTGGAAAGGGCATGCCAGCTGGGCCTAGTAGGAGGGGCTGGTGCAGACAGCATGCCATCTCTGGCAGTCCTACGAGGGCCCACACTGGACCTGCCGTGGGAACCACACCGTGCCTCAACTTGAACGTCCATCTAACTCCAGAGGAACGAACAATTATCTCACTCTTCACCATGTGCAAAAGCTGCCATCTCTCCTGTGGAAATCCAGATGTGCTGCTAGCAACCACCACAGCTCTGACGTCATCACTTCCTGGTCTCTGACATAGCAGTATTGCTATTTTTATTCTGTCTGGAAGGGGGAGAGAGGAGGGCGTTCTGGATTCCATCTTCAACCACAATCTGCCAATCAAACTGGACTTCAGGCAGGACCGTCATCGCCTGTGTGGCCTTCTCTTGAGCCCTGTCCTCCTCCCCAGTGCCACTGGCAGTCGCAAGCAGCCCAGCCCTGTCATCCCTGCCAACCCGGAACAAGGAAACCATTTCCAGAGTGACGCAAGGACGCAGAGGCTGCTGCGCCTCCAGTGGCCACACAGAGGAAGACTGTCCTGGTCAGCGGCGACCTGTCGATCTTTCCAAAGCACACGCTGCTTCCTGCAGTCACTAGAAAGGGGGCAGAAGGCTTTGCAGGAGGGCCTCAGAAATCCACCAGCCAGCTCTCCAACCATGACAGCATGAGGACTTCAGGTTCTCATAAAGCACTTTTTTTTTTTTTTTTTTAGCCTCCCAGTTTGTAACCACTAGTTTGCAGTCGATTTCAGTGGCCCAGGGCTGAGACGTGAAGTGGTCTCCGCCCCTGGAGATGCGTGTGGCCCTAGTCAAGGGCTCTTCCCAGGAATTATGTCTTCACTTGAAGGTAGGGAAGAGAGGGATGTGTGCACGTCATGTGTGCCTAGGACGCTCGGGTGCGTTTTAGGAAGCCCAGACTCCAGGCTGAGACAGTACAAGAGGCTGCAGCCTCTGCCCCTGGAGGCAGGCAGAAGGCAGCCCCTTGCTCCCAAGCAAGAGCGTGGCCAACCCAGGTTCTAACCCTGCTCAGTTGGTATCTTTGGACCTTTGCCCCCAACAGCCATCCGTAAGATAAAAGATAAGACATTTTTCACTGGCACAGGAGAGGAAAAGATTAGGGGCAGAGGCAACAAATATCAGGGCCTGGAATGTAGCTCACTGGTAGAATGTGTGCTTAGCATGCATAAGGTCCCATGGTTCAATTCCCAGTACCACATGAAAAAAACTTTTTTTGAAAGATGGTAACAGGACCAGAGGGGATGGTCTGTTTTATGCGCAATAAAGTTTTTTTTTTTTTAGAAAAAGGAAATAACGTATCTCTGAAGTCATTTTTTTCTGTTGTTGACATTGAGTTAAGACACAGTTCTGTATCACCTGCCTTTCAGCTGTGTGAAAGCTACACAAATCATTTGGACAGCTTACAGGTGAGTGTATACCGACAGGGTTTCTCTAAGAAAATCGCTTTTCATTTGGTTTGTGGCTTTGAACCCTCCGTGTTATCCCGACTTAGACACCCGTGGCCACCACTTGAGAATTCTCTGCAGCAGTCCTGCTTAATAAGCAGCTCAGAAGCCGGTGCCGGCTGCGGTGGCGCGCGCCTTTCATCCCAGCAGTTGGGAGGCAGAAGTAGGTGGATCTCTGGGTTTGAGGCCATTGTGGTCTACATAATAAGTTCCACGACTCCATTGAGACCCTGTCTTTTGAAAAACCACTGATGTTGCTAAAATTCTTAAGGTCCCAATGACAAACCGAGGCAGGATTCCACCAGAGTTCGTTCTGGAAAAGCAGTGTTGTTGTTTGTTTTTTTTTTTTTTGGTGGGGGGGGGGGGCTTACAGACAGAGTATAAGGTACTTAAGTGGGTATGGGCACTCCTTCCCCCCGGAAAGACTTTACCCAGCAGAGATGAGGGCTTTCCTTTAGCCACATAGATGGAGTCCTCCTCCCCTAGTCTTTACCCTATCTAACCAGCCCCTCCCCCAGGCCACATGCAAGCAAGGCAGAGTGTACAGCAAACAGTTGGCAACAGCTGGGTACACAAGTGAGGTGAGTCCTCAAGACACTCTTCCTACCCCTCCATGGGGTGTGACGTCAGCAACCCTAACTGGGGTGATCTTTTTGCACAAGGGGGGTGAAACTGAACTCCTCAAAGTGGCAGTTAACTTGGCTCAGAGGACAGTGACTCTGGACAGGGTTATCAGCTCTTCTACAAAGAAGGCCTACTGGCCAGGACCCATGTGTGATGGGAGGTGAGAAAGGAGAGGACCAAATAGAAAAATAAGCAGCTTACGAGGGAGATGGTGTAGCCCTAGACACCCAAAAAAGAGGTGGATCGTGGCCTTTGCCCTCTAGAAAGGAAAGTAGCGCTTAGGTCCAGCCATCTTTTTTCCCCAGAGGCTTTCGAATGACAAGACTGAGAAACAGTTGGGGTGTTGGCCACGATTCACAACAACCCCAGGTGGCAGGAAGTGGTGGTTCTAGGACAGGCAGAAACAAGCTCCTCCCAAGAAACCACCATTGCTAGCCTCCGCCAGCACACCTTGCTCGTGTCAGAGGAGCCCGGAGGAGAGTGAATCTGTGCCCTGTAAGAAGGTGAGTGGTAAAGAGAGCGTCCCTCAGAGCCAGTGTTCTCCTGGGTCTGCCTCAGACCTTGGGTGCATGTCTTCCAGCTGGACAGTCAGATGGTAAACTGCACATATGTGCAAACCAGCCTCCCCTCTCCACTGGTGCGTTGCTGGGGAGGCGAGGTTTAGGGGAGCATATCGGTACAGCGGTTCCAGAGGAAGCCTCCGGACAAGGGGCCTCAGGCTCTGGAGGGCATATGTTCAGAGCATCTTTTCCGGCAGGGGCCACAGCAGCCTGAGAGCAATGGGGGCTACCTCCCTCCTGACCCAGGGGAGGGAACAGCAAGTCGCTGTCCTCTGAAAGACTTTATTTTTTATTTTTGTTTTTCAAGACAGAGTTTCTCTGTGTAGCCTTGGCTGTCCTGGACTTACTTTGTAGACCAGGCTGGCCTCGAACTCACAGAGATCTGCCTGCTCTGCCTCCCAGAGCCCCGGGATTAGAGGCGTGCGCCTCTGGAAGAGTTTCAAACACCAGAAAGGTTTTTCTCTATAGAGGCCTCCAGACGGAAGGCCATAGGATTAGTCACATAGGGAATTCCATCTCGTTCTTCTCCCTCTTAAAAATAGATATTTCACTGTAAGATGGTATTCATAATTAAGAGATCTATTTTCAGGCTTCCTCTGCCTGGTCTTAGACTGGACTGTGGCTGTCTATGGACAAAGACTGTTTCCTAATCATTGGTGAGTAGCCAAACATCTCCCGGGAAGGGACAGCCCTCTGCCCACACTAGCTATCTCATGGCCTACAGAGGTTGGAAAAAGAAATGAAAGGGACACCAATACAGAGAACAAGACGCTGCTGACCACAAGCGTAAGTTCCACAATTCCATTTAAAGATTGACTATGTTTTACAGTGTCAGCCTCCTGAAGCCAGAGTTTCAGGCCCTTCTTAGCTGCCTGACATGGGTGCTGGACCTTAATTTGGGCCCTCCGTAGGGAGAATTTTGGTGTCGTTAAACCCCCAAGTATGTTAGGCAAACATGTTTTTGCTTTAATCCCAGGTGTGGGATATGGGGCTGCTTCAGATTGTCCACAGCTGTAGACTATTCTCCTCGTGTGTGCTCTGGCAGGGTTGCGGTTCTGCCAGCTGAAGATGGTTTAATTCTGGGGACTCTAAAGAGAGTTAAAAAAAAAAAAAAAGATAGGAAGAAAACCACAAAACAGAGCCCCAAGAGAGGGCTGCTGCTGCTGGTTTGGACTTGCCCCAAGGAACTCTAAAAAGAATTCAACGCCCCCTTTCTCCTCTAACCTCCTCTCTCGCCTGCCTAGTGTTGGGGTAGAGAAGGGTGTTAGATATAAAGAACCCAGTAAAGTAATCAAAAAAACCTGGCTACAGCAGTGTATGCTCTTAATCCCCAAACCGTCTCTCCAGCCCCAGGTTCCACAATTGTTTCCATGGATAGAAGCTAAAGGCTGGCACCTGGCTGGAAAGTGGCACTGTGCCCAGGTACAAACGCCCCACATAGATACCGACACCCAAGGTAAAACAATAGAAATCAGGGAGAAGGGATGGCCCAGTGGTTCAGACCACTTGCTGCTCTTGGAGATGACCCCGAGCTTGACTTGCACACGGTAGCTCACAGTCCTCTAACTCTCGTTCCAGGGAATCTGACACCCCCTTTCTCGCTTCCAAGATCACCAGGCATGGACTTGGTACATGTACATACATGCAGTCAAACAAAAGTAAATAAATTTTAAAAAAAATCTGTAAAACACTGAAATTGCACGTGTGGCTTTTCTGGAAGATTTAAAACCTCCCGCCCCGCTCAGACAGCAGAGGTCTAGCATAAAGCCCAGCACTTCATAAAACCAGGCACCTGGAAGGTGGAGGCAGGAGGATCAGAAGTTGAATTCCATCCTTGGGCACAAAGCAAAGGTGAGGTCAGCCTTGAACAAGGAAATAAATAGAAATAATCATGTGTGCCCATATACAAGAATGACCTCATTAATCATCGGACCTTAGCAGCAGCTAAGTCAGAGGCCACCTGCATTCAGACATCCCTGGCCAGTCCCCAACCAAAATTGAGACTCCCTTAGTGTCCTTAGGCATCAGCCGGGAGAGAGGTATCTCCCAGCCCCCCAGTCTTCAAGGTCACCGTGAAATCAGAACCTGTGGCTGACCCTTGCCGACCTCCGACCTCCAACCTCTGTAAACCCCTGGTCCTTCTCCAGTCTGTTAGCAGGCTGACTCAAGGGGCCAGCACCAGTCACCAAGTTGAGGGAACTTCCAAACAGACGCAGAGTGGCTGCTTTTTTGAGGACCACAGCAGCCATACAGGAACTGGGAATGACCCCGCCTCCGGCAATGTAGGAGGGCCAGCCTGACACAGGCCCTTCTGTTTGCTGCCTCTCTTACTGGAAGCTGAAAGCCAATCCTGCAGCCATCAAGATGGCTGAGCTTTAGCTAGCAGGCAACAGCACTTGTTTGTGTTCACACCTCAGACCCACAGTAGGGTCTTGCCCCTCACACACCCACAAATAAATGAGTAAAATTTAAAAATTCGTTACTTGTATAAAATACATTATATATACTAATTATACATAATGGGGTTTAGTGTCCCATTTTCACATATATATATAATGTATTTAATTGTGGGCCCATGGTTTAAAATTCCTTTGCCTCAGGACAATGGAGGCTTCACCCAGATCCATCCTCTGTTCCCTGATGTCTGCTAATGGTTATCCTATGAGTCTCTATATCTCTCTGGGATATCTCTCATGGCATGAAGAGCCCTAGGGATCCGCCCAGCTTGGCAACTACCCAGCTGACTCATTGTGAACTTGGCTCTCCAAATTTGTCCCCTATGCCTTTGTCCCATGAAGTGGTGGTAGGACAGAAAAGAGCCAATGGCACCTACTATGTGCCTGTCTCTTGGGCCTCTGAGTCATGGTCATGTGCCAGTCTGGCCCTGCTCAGTTTCTTGGAATCCCTGAGGACATCTGGATCCCAGATGCACAGTGTGAAGGAGAGGAAGGAAGCCAGGGTTTGGATTGGATGTGGGGAAGTCCCAGAAGTCCCTTACAGGAACAGAGAGGACAGAAATAGCATGTCCACGTCACATATCAATAACAAAGACAAAAAGCAGAGCTTCGTTGCTCTCACCTGTAATGCCAACACCCAGGAGGCAGGAGCAGGGGGATTGACATGAGTTCTAGGCCTGCCTGGGCCTTAAAAAAGAATCACTAGACAGTGGCGGTGGATGCCTTTAATCCCAGCACTCCAGAGGCAGAGGCAGGTGGATCTGGAGGCCAGCCTGGTCTACAGGGCTAGTTCCAGGACAGCCAGGTCTACAGAGAAACCCTGTCTCGAAAAACCAAAAATAAATAAATAATGCAGCTGGCTTCAGAAAGAGCAGAGCGATAAAGAAGATGCTCTGTGGGCCATGATCAGACCCACCGTGGGGCAAACCTTAGGGAGCCTGGCTCTCTGCAAAAGCCATCCCACTCTTCCACTCCTCCAGGAGCCCTCCTGAGCTGTGGCCAGACCCTAGGAGCGGACATTCGTCTAGCTTTGAGAAGCCAGCTCTGCAGGTCTCTGCTTTTCCTTCCTTGACCTGGGCGTCCTCACTAGTAAGTGTTAGAGCAGATCAGAGATTCCCAAGTCACAGCCAGGGGTGAAATTTGGGAAATCCCACGCTGGACTTCTGACTTACTGTAGGTGTTGAATCACACAAGGGCCTCACCCCTCTTACCCTGCCACAGCAGAGGCCTAAGTGACAGCTCCAGCAGACACTGCCGCTCAGGTGCAAGTGACAGGATTTCATTCATTCATTCATTTTGCCCCACAGACCTCAGTCAGGATCTTTCCCTCTCCTGTCTTTCAAGGCTACAGACAGCACGGGGAGAAGGCACCCAGGAAATGCTGTCACCCAGGAAATGGTATGGGACACTGGCCCAGCCCCTGAATACCTTTTACCTTCCCAGTGAAAGGTCTCAGAGAAGGACTCAGGGAGACACTGGGCTGGGTCACGGGGGCATGGAGTTTATGAAACTTATTAACAGGCCAAGAGTGATACTGCACACTCTTTAATCTTAGCACTTGGGAAAGCAGAAGCTGGTGGGACTCCTGACGTTGAGGCCAGCCTGGTCTACGTAGTGAGTTCCAGGCTAGTCATGGCTACACAGTCAGACCCTATTTAAAAAAATAAAATGGTTTTTAACACCAGAGAGGGACAACAGCAAGGCGGGGGCCTTGAGATGAGAGACAGACAGGCATGTCTGGGGCTTTGAGGAAAGGCAAGCGGAACTAAGTGCAGAGGATCCTCTGCACCAACCTGGACATCTGTGTCTCTTTTGTTACTTTGTGACTGAAGCAGGAACAGCAAGCTCTCAGTGTTTCACCCTGGTGGAGGGTAGCCAGGATGGAGGAAACTCTGACCCCACCCCAGGAGGGAGGTCAGCTCTGGTGAGCCTGTGCAGGGAAGAAGGCATGGGGGCTGTGGAGCCACAGGTACAGAGTGTGGTGGGAGTGGAGGTGGGAAGAGCAGCTGAGGCCCCGTGGAGCTCAGGAGGGAAAGGACAACTGGCAGAGCAGCGTAAGGGGACAGGGCTGGCGGAATTGCTCAGGGGCAGAGCACCGGCCCATGTGAAGCCTTGTCCTCCAACAGCTGCAATCCAGAAAGCGTGTCTCTCCGGGATCCTCACTCCAGCCACATACGGTGGCCCATCCTGCAGGCCCAGCATTTAGGAGGGTGGAGCCGGGAGAATCCGTCATTCACTGTCAGTGACAAGCCTGAGGATTCCTGGAACTCACATGGTGAGTTGTCCTCTGAGTCAGGGTTCTCTAGAGGAACAGACAGACAGACTGGAGACATATACATATGTATATATGTATATAGTATATGTATGTATATATATATATATGTATATATATGAGATTTATTAGATTGACTTACAGAATGGGATCCAGCTAATCCAACAGTGGCTGTCTCACAAAGGAAAGTAGAGGGTCTGGTGGTAGTTCAGGCCCTGGGGCAGTCCCACTCTGGAGCTGGAGTCCTAGGGCATTGGTTTTAGTCAATGCCAGACATAGTCACGTTGACAGCTAAGTTCAGCCGTCACATCCTCTATCCTTCCACTAGAATTTATTTACTTATAAAAAAAATAATAAATGTGAAACTTTTTTCACTGTCATACTGGACTTTATATGTGGAGTTCTTAGCGAGCGTGGGCTATATGAGACACTGTTTTTGTTGTTGTTGTTGTTGTTTGTTTGGCTTTTGAAGACAGGGTCTCACTATGTAGATTTAGCTGTCCCGGAACTCACTCCGTAGACCAGGCTGGCCTCGAACTCATAGAACCCTTCCTGCCTCTGCCTCCGGAGGACTGGGATTAAAGATGCATGCCACCCCCATCTGGCAGGACACTGTCTTTAAAAGGCACCTAGCGTCTTGCCTTCCAGCCCCCCCCACCCCTGTCGCCACCCCACACAGAGCCAGCAGGAGCCTGATAACGGACTATCAAAACATTAACAGCACAGAACTTCCTACAGAGATATGAAGTATTTTTTAATTTATTTGTAGCATGCCTATGAGGCACACTAACACCTCCTTTGATAGGAAGGACACAGAGGGTCCTCTCCGTTTGACTGATGGGAGAACTGAGCCCCGGGCTGTTGAGGGATTGCACCAAGGGAGGGAGCTGTGACAATAAATTCCAAAAGCTAGCCTCTTCTGCCCCCAGCCTCCTCCCACCCCCCTGGGGGCGGGTGCTGGGCGGTGCTCTTCCTCGGGCCCTGCTGCTGTCTCCTCGACAGATGTGTCTATTCTAACCACACACCGTCCCATGGGGCCGCTGCTGATTATCTGTACTGTGCCATCCGGGCACAGCCTTCCTAAGAGTTACAGTTCATGGGGTCCTGTCGAATTGAGTATTGGAGTATAACGAAAGGGCATCTCAAGTGCCTTCTAGCTGTTTGTGGGTTGTGTTCTTTTACACGAGTCCTACCTACCACGACTACCCCTGAGTAACCCTAGTCCTGTTTTCCCCACATATGGAAATATAAAGGCACAAACCATGAGAAAGGTATGTGGGGCTTTACAACCACACCCTGGTACCAGGAATGTGCCTGGCCGCAAATTCCCCGTGTAGTCGATCCTCAGCATGCGCTTAATAAGCCAGTAGGTAGTAGACATGGCGGTGCACACCTTTAATCCCAGCACTGAGAAGACAGAGGCAGGCCTGGGCCGTATCGAAAGTTCCATGTGGGTCAGGCAGGGCTACCCAAGGAGACCGCGTCTCAAAAACAAGCAAACGTGTGTTTCACTCCCGAGGGTCACTGGCCTGCCTGCCTACCCCGGACAGTGAACCCTAGTTCCCAGGGACAGACCTTGCCTCCGAAAACAAGGTGGGGCTGGCAAGAATGGCTCAGAGGGAGAGGTGCCAGCCACCAAGCCTGAAGACCTGAGTTCCATCCCACATAGCCGAAGGAGAGATGTAATACCTCCAGGTTGTCCTCTGACCTCCGTGGGCTAGCTGTGACACACACAAAACCAACCAGTCACTCACTCGGTCAAACACTCAATCAGCGTGATTAAGAATGAACCAGACAAAGCCCCAGAGGCCAAAAGGCACATCAGATCTCTTGGTGCTAGAGTTACAGGGGTGCTCAGTGTGGGTGCTGGCTTCAAACTCCTGTCATCATGACAGAGCGGTAAAAGCCCCTACCCACTGGGCCATCCGCAGTCTCCTCTACAACTACTGGGAACCTGGATCTCCTAATAAAATTAAACATTCCCTCACGCAGAATCCCCACACCGTAGGTATTTTACCTAAAAGAAATAAAAGCAAATCAGGCATGGTGACGCAGGCCTGTAATCCCAGTAACTGGGAAGCTGAAAAGGGCTGTTAGGAGTTCCAGCCTGTGATGGTTTGAGTGAGAAGGAGCCTATGGAAGCTGGAATAAGATTGGCCCCCACAGGCTCATATACTTGAGTCACTAGGAAGTGGAAATATTTGAAAGGATTACAAGGATTCGGAGGTGTGGCCATGTTGGAGGAAGTGTGTCACTCGGGGGTCCATGTCAGGCCCGGAGTGCCTCCTCTGCTTGAGGATCAGGATGCAGACCTCTCAACTATTTCTCTAGCACCGTGTTCTCCTGCATGCTGCCATGTACCCCGCCGTGATGCTAACAGACTAAGAAAGCCCCAGTTCTTAAATGCTTTATTTTATCACAGTTGCCTTGGACATGAGGTCTGTCCTGGCTTGTTTGTTTGTTTGTCTGGTTCCAGACAAGGTTTCTTTGTGTAGTCCTGGCTGTCCTGGAACTCACTCTGTAGACCAGGCTGGCCTCAAATTCAGAGATCTGCCTGCCTCTGCCTCTGAGGGTTAGGATCAAAGGTGTGTACCATTACTGCCTGGCATGTTCTAGGTTCTTTTTTTATGCCACCTTGACATAAGCTAGAGTCATCGAAAGGAAGGAACTTCAATTGAGAAAATGCCTCCGTAAGATCCAGTTGTGGGCATTTTCTTAATTAGTGATTAGTGGGGGAGGGCCCAGCCCATTGTGGTGGTGCCACCTCTGGGCTGCTGGTCCCGGGTTCGATAAGAAAGCAGGCTAGGCAAGCTGTGAGAAGCAAGCCAGTGAACAGCAGACCTCCAGGACCTCTGCAGCAGCTCCTGCAAACAGCTCACCCTGTATGAGCTCCTGTCCTGACTTCCTCTAATGATGGAAATGTAAGCCAAATAAACCTCTTCCTCCCCAGCTTGCTTTCGGTCATGGTGTTTCATCACAGCAATAGTAAGCCAAACTAGGACAATGTTTCTTCACAACAAGAGAACAGTGACAAGCTAGGCATGGTGGCACATGCCTAGAATCCCAGCACACTGAGAGGCAGAGACAGGTGGAGCTCTGTGAGTTCAAGGCCAGCCTGATCTACAAACAGAACAGCCGAACAGCCAAGACTACACAGAGAAACCCTGTATCAGGAAGGAAAAAAAAAAAAAAAAAAACAGTGACTAAGACTATCGGCTCATAAGTTTGAATACTTGGTCCCCAGTTGGTGGAACTATTTGGGAAGGATTAGGAGGTGTGGCCTTGTTGGAGAAAGTGTGTCACTGAGGGTGGGCTTTGAGGTTTCAAAAGCCCACACCAGGCCAAGTTAGCTTTTCCTCTCTGCAAATAAGGATGCAAGCTCTCAGCTACTCTCCAGTGCCATGCTTGCCTGTCTGTTGTCAAGCTCCCTGCCATGATGGTCATGGACTCTAACCCTCTGAAACCATGAGCCACAAATTAAATGCTTTCTTTCTTTCCTTCTTTTTAGGTTTTTTAAGACAGGGTTTTTCTGTGTAGCCCTGGCTATCCTGGAACTCACTCTGTAGACCAGTCTGGCCTCATACTCAGAGATCCTCCTGCCTCTGCCTTCCAAGTGCTGGGATTAAAGGAGTGTGCCACCACCACCTGGCTAAATGCTTGCTTTTATAAGGTGTCTTGGTCACACTGTTTTGTCATGGCAACAGAGAAGTAACTTCGACACAGCCATATCTGAGGTACACACATTTCTAGATGTACATTTATGCTCTGGTTTTGATTACATAACAGACACACACACGACAGTACTGTCTGGAGATACAACTGCATTTAATGGCACACTTGTTATGGTGCCCTGAGAAAGAGAAACGGCTTTTAGAGTTCTGTACCAAAGGGCAGAGGAGTGTGTGATCCATCATTCAAGGTTTGACAACCAGAAGCCAGGCTTGGTGGCACAGGAAGATCAAAGCTCTAGGCTAGCCTGGGCTGCATAGCAACCTCCATCTTACCCTCCCTCCCCCGTTGCCCTAAAGAGCAGTGGTTTGAGGGGTACTGAAATTGGAAGTCTCCCTAGTTACGGCTGTTTATTAGAATTTAAGCTCCTTCAAGTAAGGATATGTGTCTGGAGCCTGCAAACAACTTCTGGAATATGACAGGGTCTGTGCGGTGCTAGAAATATTCATTCATCTTACATTAGTCGTCCCCCCCCCATCCTTTAAGAAGAGTTGGAAAATATGAAGAAAATTAAAACCAGACAGACAGGGAGACGGCTCACTGGTGAAGTGTGGATTCCTAGCACCCAGCTAAGAAGTAGGGTGCTGTGTGTGCCTACAACTCCAGCATCTGAGGGGCAGAATGGAAGATTCCTGGAGCTCACCCGCTACCCAATCAGGGAAATCAGGGAGCTGCCTGGTCAGGGAGAGATCCGGTCCCAAAAAAATAAGGTGGACAGTGACGGAGGAAGACACTGACTTCTGGCCTCCACAGTCTCTTGTCTCTCTGTCTCTGTCTGTCTCTCTCTCACACACAGGCGTTGACACATACACAAACGAATGTTTACACATTCGCACGAAAGAACATGCCCGTTATGTTAATATAACCATGTGATTTTATTTTGGTGTGTAGGGGAGGTGCCAGCCTACTTTTTTGGTTCTTCAGGTCCAGTTTTTCGGCTCAGGAACAGCAATTCTCTTGGGCCTATTTACTTCCTCATACTTCCAGAAATTCACTTTCTGGTTTCTCTTTCTCTTTTGCTACTGTCACATGCCTGTCCTTTGGGGCACTGGCTGGCACTTAGCCATTGCACTCAGGCGTCTCTGGACATGGGAACTAGCTAACAGTTTGAGATTCTCTGCCAGCCACCCGATTCTTCTCACATTTTCACCCAAGAGAACCCCATCCCCACCCCGCCTCCCCCTTAAGCTTGAGAACAGTTTAAGGGGTCTGAAAAGAGCTGCCCGAGAGAGAAGCATTAGGAATCTCCCAGCATCTCTGATAGGGCCGATTCTTGCAAGGACACTAGCCAGGGTGGACCAACCTGCTACGCCATTTTTCCTATGGCCAGCGTGTGCGGGAGGCTGGGATCAGACGTGACACCCACGCTGGCGAGGGCAGGGCGCGCGGGCTCCCACTGTACCTTCCTTCCTGTCCCTCGCAGCAAGGGGTTAAACCCTGGGATCTCCACAGGCTGAGGCCGGCCGGGGGGCGGAGCATCCGGAGGGCGGAGCTACAGGGGCGGGGCTAGGCCGACCCCCGGCGGGCGCGGGGAAAGAAAAGCGGGGTGCGCGGCGCGCTAGTGTCAGTTCGCCAGCCAGCCCTGCCCCAGCCTGTGCGCCGCGGCGTCTGCGTGGTGAGTCCGCCCACCCTCCCGGGCGCGCCCTGGGCCTGCGCTCCCCTCGGGGGCTTGGCACCGAGCTCAGTTGGGTATCCTTTCAAGCCCTCGCGGTGGCGGGGCTCCTGCGCCTTGGTGGAGGCGGGGCGGCCGGTGCCGCCGCGGGGCTGCGGGCAGGGCACGGGAGGGCCCGGGGCGCGCAACCGCTCTCGGCTCCTATCCGAGCTGGGGGTCCTGGGCCGCTTTCGGGGCAGACCTCCGGGCGGACCGGGGGCCCCGCGCGCGGTGAGGGCAGCTTGGCGCTGGGCTCCGGCTAGGCGCTCCGCCTGCGCTCTGCGGCGGCTACCCACAAAGATGAATAAGGCGCGGCTAGAGCCCAAAAACGGGACCCGGGCAGAAGACCCGGAACCCCAACCCGGACCCAGACCTTGGACTCAAGCGAAGGGCAGGGTACCTTTCCTACACCACCGAGCCCACAGCTCACACTCACGCCTAAACTGTGGGAAAGTGGCAGCCCAGTACCCGAAATGGTTTGAAAATGTGCAGAGACGGGTTGCTGAGGTTTTTTAAAAAAAGTTTGTTGAATGGTTGGCCGAATAACCTAGAAGAAACCTACAGCCTTCGGCCACCAAGTGGCTGAGCCCACAAGGATTCACTCATTCATTCATTCATTTATATATTCAGCAAATAAATGTGCACCAGGGCGGGCCAGGGGGGAGCTGTTGCGGGTGGTGAGAGGGACTGGACTGAAGAACCAATGAAGGGCCAGGTATGGTTGAATGTGGGCCTGGGCCTTCTACGATGGGATTGGCTCTTAGATGAGCAATGAAGAGTAGGCTGAGGACCCAGCAAGTCCACACCCTATCTCCACCCGGCTAGGACGCTTTGAGATCCTGAGTGCTCCCCTGAGCCTAAACCCTGGGCAGTTAGCTTTGAGTGCGATCTGTGCCCGAGTTAGGGGTTCTGGGTCCTTCAGAGGGCCCATTTGTGGGCGGCCACAGTGGAGACTTCCTCAGAAGAGTCTGATCTGGTACTGAGGCAGAGTTCGGGAGGCTTCAACACTTGGGTGAACGCTAGGAATTGTGTGTACCCTGGCCACACAATTGCTGGCCCTCTTGCCTACAGAAGGCATGGCAGGTGGGTTTGGCTTGACGCGGCTGAGGTCAGCAGGCATTTCGCCCGCTAGGTGCAGGTTCGTGAGGTGCTATCTCCAGGCTGCTGGTGTGTGTGGTTGTTTGGGTACAGACTTTCGTGATGGCGGGTGCAGAGAGCTGACTGGTTGGGACATTTGTAGTTGCTCTGAAGAGATCTCGGTAGACCCAAGATGGCCAGGTTACTGGGGGGGGGGGGTGTCTCTGAAGGATGAGTTGGTGTGCAGTTACCGAGGGTGCTGGGGGAGGGGAGGAGATGCTCATCGCTTGAGGTCACCTGGTTCCTCTTATTTGCAAGTAAGAATAGCCTACCCTGGGCCCCATCATTGCTGGGTGCCTGGACTCCGGAAGGAAGGCTGGATGACACAGCCTTTAAGACCTTTCCAAGGGTGGAGCATGTTATTTCTTACGCCTTTTTTCTCTCTAGTGGGAATCTGAGGGTTGGGGACCCACCTCTAGGCTGGGTTCAAGGCCAAACAGCCATCCTCACTGGGGATACAGTGAATCTGGTGGTTCCCAGGTTGTGAGCTGGGAAACTGCCAGGCCATAAGAGGCCCCTGCTGTGGGTCTGCGGCTGAATCTCGGGCCACAGCTGTGGCTGTGGAAGTAGCTCGTGTTTCTTTTCTGGCAACCCTGCCTGGCTGGCCACCCTCAGAGGCCACGTGTCCTTGCCCACAGTCACAGGTGTGAAGAAGACAGCTAAACTGAAGCTGCAGGGTGGAGGGCGGCGACGATCAAATACCATCCAGAGCTTTCTGTGCCTGATAAGCCCACAGAGAGCACTTTGGTTTTCTCTCCACGTCTCCAACACATACTCACGAGTACCTCCTTGCTGGACGGTGGAGGCTCGCGCCTTTGATCCCAGAACTCCGGAGGCAGAGGCAGGTGGATCTCTGAGTTCGAGCCAGGGCTCTACAGAGCAAACAACAATGAGTACTTTGTGCCTCCTAAGTCCTAGGGCTACAGTGTGTATCACTTATATTAACCAGCTCACTTCCTATCACAGTAATCAGAGAATAGATTAGTACTCCTTTCTTTAGAGAGGTAAGCTGGGTGGAGAGAGGCTAATTAACTTGCCTCAAAACCAGATTCAAGCCGACACGCTTGCAAATCCCAGCACTCGGGGAGGCAGAGGCAGGTGGATCTCTGTGAGTTTGAGGCCAGCGTGGTCTATAAAGTGAGTCCGGGACAGCCAAGACTATACAGAGAAACCCTGTCTCAGAAAACAAACAAACAAAATCAGATTTAGAACTCCAGTTCTGACTGTACCCCCTCATTCTCAGCCATGTTCAGTTTCCCAAGGGAGGTTCATCCAGGGAATCTCAATAGACCTCAGGGGTAAGGAATGGCCATAGTTTTGTTTGTTTTTTCAGTACTAGGAACAAACCCAGGGCCTGGTATGTGCAAGACTTGCACCCTGCCACTGAGTCAGACACACACACCCCCTTCCTGGGAGCTCCTCTTCCCTTCTAGCAGCTAGAGGGAAACAGGGCAGCTAGTTCTACGACTGGGGAGCTGAAGCTTTAGCGCCAGGGACTTTATGGAGGGGTTTCCCCCAAGAACCATCTTGGCAGATGTCCATAGTTTCTCCCTCTCAGTGTTCCTTCCTCTCTTACCCTTCTCTGTCTGCTTTTGTTGGTCCAAACAGAGATCTTTCCGACAAAAGGGTAATAATAGTATCTATATGAACAAGCTAAAAAGCAATCATTTCTGGAGATGTTGAGTTCTTAGTTGGCTTTATGGGCGTTTGTCCTCATGGATATGCCGGCCTTCACCAAACAAACAATGCAAAACTAACCGAAATTAAACAAACAGGAAACAAAGGAGGAGTGTTTGGGTGTGTGGGGGCGTGTGCAGTTGGGCACACGTGAGCGTATATGTTCGCGCGTGTGTGTGCATTTGTGGGTAATGTGCTTAGGAGCCAGGCATTTCCCTGCTGGCTCTAGACCAGCCTAAGAAGAGGCAGTGTGCTTCTGGCATTAGACCTGGGAGGGTGTGGGTGGTTCCGGTGGCGTTGCTGGACCAGGACTGGACTGTGTGGAAGCAGGGCAGCCGGATGAAGGGAGGTTGCCCGTCTGTGTGTCCTGGGACACACCCCAGCTCCCGGTACAGATGCCTTTTTGCAAAGCTTGGTCAGGGTGGCAGGTGGCTGGCGGTGATTGTTTTCCCACTGTGGTGACCATCTCGGGCAGGTCTGCACTGCCTTGGGCTGGTGCTAGCTCCTTCGGGAACAAACCTGTGAGTTTTGTTTTGTTTTCTGAAACAGGGTCTCACTTATCCCAATCTGGTTTTCAACTCACTGTGGAGCTGAGGGTGACTCTCAGCTCTCCTGCTTCCTTCTCCCTGTGTGCTGGGGTTACAGGCATGTGCCACTGTATAAACATGCTTCAAACCTCTCTTCAGAGGCAGTGAAGGAATAGGGCTGCAGCCTCGATGGGTGCCTGGCTGATCTTGGGAGTTCCAAGTGCGGGGGAGTATTGGGAGATTCCAGCTTGTCTGATCAAGAACTCTTGCTGCAGGCCTTTCTCCAAGCCAGCAGTAATGGTCCTGTGTCTCTGATGTATGTTTGGTCTAGTTTTCATAATTAGTGTATACACACATGCTCTTCCCACTAACAGCTGCAAGTAGAAAAGGCAGTCAGTACGTGTAAGTACACTGCGTTACCTTACACACCTAACGTGTCCTCAGAAGACAGCTATCCTTCCGACGGGTGTGTGTGCCTGAAGGGGACCGAGCGACCATAGCTAGGCAGAGTACCAGCATATCCTGGAACCCACCAAAGCTACCCTGCCATAGGTAAAGACATAGAAATCCTTTGCCTGGATTTCTGTGGGAACTTTCCGACAAGCTTCTCCTTACCAGTCTTGGAAAGGTGGATGGGGACTGGGCGATACCATCTTGAAGGGACCTCGGGAGCCCGTCACACCTCAGGAGCCCATTACACCTCAGTCTGGCGTGTTGCCATCTTCTCTAGACCACAGACCCGTCTTCCTTTGAGTTCCAGGCAAGGCGAGGCAAATTTCTGGCCAAGGCATGGGCGTTTCTCCTTGAGTATCTTCTAGATACCAGGGAGACCACGCCCCAGAGCCCTCACTGGGCTTACTGTGTGAGCACTCCAGGAGCACATCTCATTGGGGAAGGTGCTGTGCTGGCTTCCTACCTGCTGTCCGCCCCGTCTCTCTGATGTAAGCCATTGTCCCTTTAATCAACGAGGAAAGGTCGTCGCTTTCTTCTCGGGTGTGAGAGACAGGAAACTGCTGTTACCCAATGCAGGCCCACTGCCAAGCTCTGGCCCCAGAGCATGGGGCAAACAGTCCAGTCATCCTTCATTGTATTCTCTGCGGGGCTAGGTACCCCCCAGTCCCTCTATGACTAAGCTCAAAAACAAAACAACAACAAAAGAGTAAAGCATTAGGGGTAGGGTGGGAAGGGGACAAAGGCATGCAAGCATTGCAGAGTGGCCTCTGAGACATCTGTCCGTCCCTGCTGGCTCGCCCTTCAGACATCTGACTCCCTTTCTGCTAGGCATCTTGCCCCACCCAATGCTTAGATCTTTCAGAAGCCCGGGTCCTGGGCAGGGAGGGGAAGCAGGGGACTCTATCTGAAAGGCCTCAAACATGCAAGATGGCCATCTTCTGAGGACCTAGTGAAGCCACAGCGGTACACAGGCCCCTCTCTTGTACCACCATTCAGCTATATTTACTTTCCCCCCCCCCCCCCAGTGCTAGTGGTTAAATGCAGAAATTTTTGCCCGCCTAAGTCATTGCTGTTCCACTGAGCTTAAAACCATTGTATTGCTGGTGTGGCGGCTCATGTCCGTAACGGTAGCACTTGGGAGGCTAAGGCGGGAGGATGGGAAGAGTTTCA